CCTTGTTTTTGTTCGAGGAAAGAGGTCCAACAGCCCACCGGTAGAGCAGCGGTGGATAATGGCGCCATAATAGCCCCATGTCCCTATCTCTCAGCTGCCGCTGGACGACAGAGGATCCACACGCACCTGTTGTCGTCCCCCTATTGTGCCCGGCAAGCGTTAGCGTGCTACACCTCAGGAATGCTCCCCATCCAGAGGCCGGCCTGCTCGTCCCAGGAGAGAGCTTAGCCACGGTGGGATGAGGGGAGGGTGTCAGGAGTGTGTGTGTGGAGGAGCTGGGAGGGGGCACGGGAACCAGCAGGGAGGCTTTAGAGGACGAGGCATGGGGAAGGAGGGGAGGTAGAGGTGGGAGGAAAGGGAGGGAGGAAGGGTGGGTGCGTTCCTCCAAAGCCAGTGTCCTCTCTCCTCCTCTTCAGGGGCCTGTCCAGAGAGCCCTGTCCTAAATCACTGGCCCCAGGGGGAAGGCTCTCCATTGTGAAGAGATGGCCCCTGCAAGCTGGGCCGCCAGCTGCCACTGCTGCAGCGTCATGCCCCCCTCTCCCCACACACACACACACACACACACATGCACACACACACACACCTCCTCCCTACATCCCCTCCACCTTCGGCACCATGACAATGCTCCCTGCGGCCACGGCCACAGGCCAGTGGAGAGCATTAAAAAGAATTTGGAGGAGACTCTTGAGAAAGGCCACAGCGGAGCAAAATGTTTTTTGGACAAACATTAATGATGACAAACTCGGAGCCGGGTTACAGTGCACGACACGCTAACCTGCACACATCTGACTCCCGGCCCCCTCGCAGCCATTAAAGCAGAGAATGACAGATCGTATAGTTTCTGTGTGATAATGCAAAACTCACTGGCTGATATTCAGACGGCCGATGATGCTCCCGGGGAACGTGGTCCTTTTGTTTCCGTCAGAGATGCAGCTCCAGGTTCTTTCCAAGCGAAGGAGGTTTAAATAGTTTTTCTTTCGCTGTGAGAGAAACAACGTCAGCGCGTCCCGTAAAAACAAACCCAGATTTAAACCTTTGGACTCAAACCATAAAAATATATCTTTGGTTACGCAGACAGTGTTACTGGTCTTATCACATCACATTTACATTTTTTATCTCTTGAGCCTCCAGCCTTATCGGTAAAGATAGAGTCCATGAAATACACACAGGTTATTTTTTATTTATTTATTGTTTTTAAAACGGGGCTTTAAAAATGGCGACCAACATAAAAACTCACAGAGGATTTTAACTGTATATATATATATATTTATTTATATATATATATATCTTGTATGTACCTGTATTGCACTTTGAGCCCTGATGCTGCAGTTTTTCAGCGAGAGATCAGAAACTTAAATATTTTCACGTTTCTGTGCCGTATCTTGGCCACGTTCAATATTTTTTTGCCTTCAGACGACTCGCTGTCAGACATCAGACCCTTGATTTGGAGAAACTAAAAGCAGAAGCATAGCAACGCAGTTTTTTTTTTTAACCTTTCGTTCCAGATTCTGTGCGCCTGATCATAAAAACAAAAACATCCGCAGCCGCTTCATTCCGTCTAGACTCCATAATCTGTCAGAGAAATTGTGTTTTTATACTTTTTTTGTTATAAATCGAGAACTGAAATCTCTCGTTTACAAAACAGCTGAGACCCTTTGCTTGTGTTCAGGTGCGTCCTGTTTACTTTGATAATCCCTGAGAGGAGTCCAGAACCTGATTGGACTCCACTTGGACAAACTGAAGGAACCGAGCATCCTTAAGAAGAGGACACATTCTTGTATTTGCAGTTACCCAATTGCCAAGAAGCTCTCTGCAGACCTGAGCAATAAAACTGCGATGAGGCGTATCAGGGCCGGAGTATGAAGCCGTGAGGTGTTCCAGGTGCACGGCGGCATCAATCAGTCGACTGTCTGGCCAAACCGAGTAACCGAGTGCTGGTTTATGCCAACAGAGAAAGAGTTTCTGATCTAGTGAGTGAAAATTTTGAAAAACTGTCTGGGCAGAACTCCAAAAACTGTCCGGCGAACAGACGGCGCTGCACATCGCCTGCTCGGACCATCCCCACAGTGAAGCACGGCGGTGGCAGCATCATGCTGTGGGAGTGGAACTGAGGGACTCATGAGTGCAGACAAATAAATGTAAATCCTTCAGGGAAACCTGCTCCAGAGATTTCATTTATTTTAAAAGTCATATGAAGCTTGACAGAATTTTCCAGGAAGGATGGAACAAGTTGCTCAAATCCAGCTGTGCAACGCCTGTAAACTGTAAATACAAACAATGTGTTTACTGAAAATATTAGTAACAGAAATTATTCCCATCTTTTTTTGCGGTGTGCTTGTCTAGTTCAGTAATATGTAGAATGTTTGAGTCCTGATGAGCTCACGGTGAGTTGGCTGCAGAGGCTGTTAGGATCACACAGACAGGAACTAAAATGTTGTCAATCTGAGACGAACCGCTAGCCGGTGCAGAGATGAGAGAAAAGCTGTGACTAACTTTCTTGTTGGGCCTTGTTAGGACTAATCGCTGTACAGTTGTTTCTAGACAGACCACTGAGGAGAGCATTACAACCAGCACCAGACATGGGCCTGAGACAAGCAGCCTCTTCCTCCTCATGTATTCTTTAAATGTAACCGACCCCCTAAAAGGGAGGCGACGTGGCTTCAGCATCAGCTGCTTTGAGGGATCGCTGTGTTTATGTGAATCCAGAATGCTGCACCCGATGAGCCGTGCTGCCTCGCCAGACGAAACCGTTGCAGAACCACTAAATTGACACATTCACAGACTTTTTTTTTTGTGCTCTCTCTCTCTCTGTCTCTGTTTTTTTGATTTCGTCCTCCGACTGCCGCCGTCACAGCCCTGTAGGAGGATTTTCCCATCCATAGCTAAGGGAGGCGTGCTCCATTGTGCAGCTTCTAATGATGATTGTAATGATGGCTTGTCCATCTTTGATAAGAAACAGCACGCCCCTCATTAAAGGGCCCGGGGCCCCGGTTCTCATGGCCGCCGGTCCTTCCCCGGAGTCGGACAGCAGGCGAGGGGAGGCGAGACGACACCCGTGGCACACGCCTGTTGACCGAGCCACAAAGCAAAAGCGTGTGACACTCGCCCCACCCCCGCCGCTCCCATTGTCCTCCCCGTGGGTCCCACAGACAAGACCAATCCTGTTACCCTCCCACCCCTCACCCTCCCTCACCCTCCACCCCCCCCTCGCATCCACAAAAACCACAACACACACACACACACATGCACTCCCCTCCATCCTTTCTCGCTCTCCTTCACAATCAGTTTTACCAATCAGCTGATCTCTCCCTTTCTCACACATCCACCAGGGGTTGCCCTCATCCCCTTCTCCCCCACCTCCTCCTCCATCACCTCCCCCTTCACCATCAGCTGCCACGTAAGGTGGAAATCCATCATTGTGTGTAAAGAAGGTGCTCGTGCATGCTGCTCAGCCATTGCCATACACTTATTGGGGTGTGTGTGGGGGGGTGGTTGATTGGTCCAGGAGGTTTTTAGAGGGGAGGGGGGCTCTAATTCACTGATTCACATGCAGACAGTATTTCTTAGAGGGGTTGGTGGAGGAGGGTGTGGCAGGTGGGTGGGGTCTGGGTGTTAGGGATGCTGGTGATGGTGGATGATGGTCGTGGGACGGAGGAGAAGATGGGGGGGAGGAGGAGGAGGGGGGGAGGCACGGGGTGGTGGGAGGGAGGAGGAGGAAGAGGAGGGGGTTGCCGCGGCTGCCGGGGTCAGGCCTGTGTGTCCTGGGAAAGTTGGGTTCTCCATTTAAATCTGCACATGTTGCGGCCTTCTGGTGGCTGCGTGAATGCGCACGGTGACAGATGGCCCCGGCCCATAACTATAGAGTCCGAGCAGCCCGGTCCCCCGGGGGAGAGAGGGAGAGAGAGAGTGACAGAGAGAGGGAGAGAGAGAGAGGGAGAGAGGGAGAGAGAGGGAGAGGGTGCAGGGAAGGAAGAAGAGAATGTAGCGCTCAGCTGATCCCATCAAAAAGAGAGATGAGGTACGAAGGAAAGGCAGCGCGAGGAGGAGGAGGAGGGATGACGGTGTGTGTGTTTGTATCTATTTGTGTGTGTGTGTGTGTGTGTGTGTGTGTGTGTTAGACGGGGGGAGGGGAGGGCCCTTAATCCCAAACTCTAAATTGAGTTAATGTATTTGCCTGGTCTGCATACTCCAAAAGGAGGCCCGGGGTCCCCAAAGATTCTGATTAGGTGTCTAGTTTATCAGATGTTGGAGGACGGGGAGGAGGAGGAGGAGGNCAAACTCTGGCCCGTGGGCCAAATTCGGCCCGCTTTGTAATTATATTTGGCCCGCGAGACAATACCAAATGACTACTAGAGCTGCCCCCGGTATTATACTGTACAGCGCATTCACCGCTAATACTACAAATCCCATAATGCCCTGCTGTTGTTTTGGTACGTCAATCAGGACAGGACCCAGAAACTCCCTCTCCTCTGAGACAGTAGGCATAGCGACTTCACACTACAACTGTCACTGTGCCATTGATGTGTTTTTTATTTAGAATTTGATTTTGCATGTCTCCACTATTAAGTTATATATAATGTCTGGTAATAAGCGTTGCTTGTTCCATGTTCAATGTTAAAGCTAAATTTGTTTCGGTCCATATTAAAAGGTTCATTTGTTCAATGTTGGCCCGCGACTTCGTTTAGGTTTTAAATTTTGGCCCACTGTGTTTTTGAGATTGACACCCCTGCACTAAACCATCATGACAATAACAAAGCAGCAGTGTTAGGAGATGCCGGCTTAACTTTCTGAGCATTTTGGAGAAGTTTGTGGTGCTGCTGAGTCACATTGAAGACAGGTCAGGTCAGGGCAAGTTTTTGAATGTGACTCAAACAAAAACACTCAAGGATTCCAGGATTCAATGAGCTTTATTTGTCGTGCCGGCTCACTTTCACATGTTTGTGGTACGAAATGAACACTCAGGTCCTGTTTTTTTTTTCAAGAAAAAGCCTAATAAATAATAAGTACAATAAAATAAGAGCAAAATATCAGTAAAAATAACAGCAGTATAAGTGTAGTAAGAAAAACAAATCTAATTTGCATCAAGGGAATTTACAGTCTGTACGACATGAGCGCCCCCTGTCCTGAGACGCTCTGGAATAAAGCCACTTTGCTGAAGATGCACACAGAGCCGCCATGGTTTCACCTGACTTTGCTGTACAGATCAGACACATCTGGAACAGCTGCCTGACGTCTTGTTCTGTGAAGGAAACAAATATGTTGTCAATGAAATTATAAAGTATTCAACACATAAACTTTGAACATAATTGAACGAAGAAAGAAAAAGTTGGGATTAAAAACTTGATTGGATTAGTGTCATTTTTAAAAAAAATCAAAGAGCAATAGAAATGTGGCGAGCTGCTCACCCGGCGGCGGTGCTGCTGCTGTGGATGGTAGTTGCGTATATCACAGACTCCTCCTGGTATCTCTGCACCTGACCTGGGCGGAAGTTGGAGTAGACGGCGTCCGGCTGTTTTGCAGCGAACTGCACACTGGCGTACTGAAGTTCTTCCTGCCGGCCACATGGACAAGAGCAGATTATGAATGTGTGGCTGGCGTTGGATGAGTAGAACTCCAGTGTGACTAAAGGTAGTAAATATGATTTGTGGTGCACTGTAGCATCAAACGATCACTCAGTGAAAGAGCTGCAGGGTAGTTCGCTGAACCAAACACCTGTGGTCCTGAGGCTTGCTGCTCCAGAAGCTCCAGATCAGACCAGAGTTAGAACACATTACATGAGAAGTTAATCAAATTCCTGACATGAAGTTTAACCTGCGCTTAGACACTCGTCTTGTTCCAGTCATGTAAAGCTGACTGAACCTGAGCTCTAAACTCCAAAACACACATAAAGAACAGTTTCTCAATGACACGTATGTGGTCTAAAGAAGGAACTTGTTGCTTAATTGTTGTGAACATTGCTAAAGCATTCACACTTCCTTCCTCTTACAATAAATTAGTTGATAGATGTAAAAGTGTCCCTATCTGTTACATCTACTGCGTGTCTCCAACTCTGTGCATCGTTGCTGAACTGAGACTTTAGAAGAAATAACTACATTGACAGAGTGCACAGAAAAAGTGCTGCAACTGTGGTGTGGACAGACACTGAACCTGGTGTTCAAAACACCTTGAGATGGCAACAGGAAAGTGTGAAGGAGGAGGAGGAGGAAATGATTTAGGGAACAAAACGGTCAAATCCAGGGTTACTCAACCAAGGAGGGGGTTTTTTGTTTGTTTTGTTTTTACAGTTAACAGGCGACTCTGAAGTCTGAACAGCACCAGTGGTGTGTCGTCAGGTCCAGTCAGGCCGTCTCTGCTGGCCTCGACTCGATCAGAATCACTGACTCACGCTGTAATATTTTCCCATTAATCTTTTAGCTTTATTCCCAACAGTCTGTTGTCTTCATTTCATAACGTGTCTCTGGGCTGTGGTGCTTCCAGCTGTGTGTGTTTACATTAGAGCTTCTATCCAATCATATTTCAGCCATCATGTGTTGTCAGGGTCACAGAACTCTGCCCTGAGGCCTCCAGACTCAAAAGTGCAGCTTCAAATGCATTGCAATGAAACTGTTGCTTTGACCAATCAGATTGAGAGCTGGTGGTCCCAAGGCCAGCTAGCTGGCCTACGACGATGACGTCATCACTTTAACGTCCTCTGATTGGACGGTCAGAGAGCTCAGCCAAAGCTAGCGGTTCGTATCTGTAGCGACCTGCACAAGCTAAAACTTTATTGTAAAAGTATTCAAACTAATTGCAGAAACACGACTGGACAGACCGACTGTCAGCATCAGTCTCCATGGCGATAGAACAGGACTTATTGTTGGATTAGCTGCTCAACAGAGTGACTGAACTGCTTATGATGAAAGAAAGGAGGAAGGAGTTTGTGCTGAAATAATCCCAGGTTTTGGTGAGTAAAATATACATTGTGGTCATTTTATTGGGCTGATGTTGATGCTCCTGTTGGATGTGATGTTTGTGGTGCAGCTGTGGCTGCAGTTAATGGAGACGTGTTGAATTGTTTTAACTGGGTTTCTTGCTTTCGTGATGCCATTCATTCTGGCTACATGAGATCGCTGTCTGCGGTGCAGCGTCCTGTTATGCTGCCTTTCTGCATAGTACTGATGGTTTCTGTAGCCGTGGCGTCACAATGACGGTGTTAAGAGGTGGTTTGATTCAGGTCGGACGCCACTGAAGGCCACCAGGAGGAAAATGCGCGGCCCGCCACTGGTCTGCACTGTAACACCAGAACTCTGGTCCCTCACCTGTGTTCTGCTGACTGGTGTCTCTCCAGCCTCAGATTGTTGTTTGAAAAACCTCTGTCGTCTGGAAGTAAAACACATGTACAGTACAAACAAAGAAACAAATGAATGTTTAAACATACGGCAGACTTTATCAGACAGGTTTGTGTTTCCAGGCACGCTTTAATACATTTCTCAGATGGTCACATCACTTCCTGGCAAGTATGGACAAGAAGGATCATTACAGCTGAGAGGAAAGTGCAACTTCCTCCAAAAAGGCCCAGGAGAAAAAAATATTCAAAGTCAAAATGTTGTTGAGCCCCTTTGACCTCATTGACCTCCAACAAAGCGTTTCTGTCACAAGCTTCTGACGCTTTTCTCATTTTGGCCGTCCTTTAAGACGCAAAGTAAATACGTCACATAGAAAGTGAACTGCTTACCTAATCCACAGCAAGAGAAAGAGGAGTATGAAGGCCAGCAAGACAGCAGTGATCGTCAGAGCAACTGGAAATGTCCATGAACCTGTAAATGAACGATCAAACACTGAATTCTTAACATGCATGTCTTTGGACTTTGGGAGGAATTGGGAGTACACAGAAAAAACAAAAGGCCCGAGCCGACTGAACCCAGAACCTTCTTGCAGAGAAGTGTCAGTTCTAACCACTGCGTAGGCCGGGCTAACTTTGTCAAAGGTCTAACAATGTAAAAATCATCCCAGCATCTTCAGCTCATAGGTAGAGTGCCTATAAAAGTATGAATCTTCTACTTTGAACGNGTGTGTGTGTGTGTGTGTGTGTGGACAGGGTTTACGGGTTTGTGGGTGCGGTGCCAGCTTCTGGAGCTGCCCGATGTCTCCATTCACAGAGTTGGTAGATCTCCGCTGTTTGTCTGTGACTCCTGGTTAATCCCGTTAAGCAGCGACGTCAGCGCCTGGTTAAAGATGATTTTTTTCACAGATTTACGCCGTCGAGAAGATGAGAGACGGTTCGCCTTGTCTTCAGGAGGACCAGCTTTGGGTTTAGACTTTGAGACGGACGGCGCTTTTGGAAAGCGAGGAGAGATTTCTTTACTGGGGTATTTAGGAGGCCTCACAAGCATAAGTGTGAAGCTGCCTACGGTGGAGGTGGCCTCTGTTTAAAAGGTCATTTCACTGTTGAGATGTGATCCACTGGAAGCAACCAGAATTAACATAGCGGCGCTCAAAGCAACAAAAACAAGACAGTTGGAGAAATAATGACGTATAATTGTTCTGGCTTCAGCGTTAATCAGTGTGAAACAATTAAATAATCAAAGTGGATCAACATTACAATCAAGAGACAAAAATGAGGTGCAAATAAATGAAGTAGAAACGTAAGAAAAAGAGGCGTCACCATGTTCAAGGGCAAAAAAATACATAAAGAGGCAACAGACGAAAACATCTTTCATTCCTCCTCTCACAGCTTGGTGTTTTACTTTTATTTCAAACATTAAATCAGCAGACAGTAGTGCCTACACGGTGAAATATGAAGTCTCAGAGACGTATTTAACCACGTTTCTCTGTGCTGACTGATACCGGAGCTATAAGAGGAAAAAATGTGTCGGCTGTTTGGGTGAGCCGACAATTTAAAGATGCAAATTGTCATCAAAGACACAGACGCGCGCCATGCCGCCTCACTGCAGGGTGTGCATCTACGCGAAATGGTGTCTTGCTCCCACTCAGTGGTGTTTTTGGTGCCGCTTTAATGCGCGGCAACACATTCTGCCGCCCACACGCGCATTCACTGCTGCGTTCTCACCACGTTGTTGCTCCGCAGCCTCCTGGAGAACTGACACACTTCACACAAAAGCACCAGTTGGGCTTTTTGTCAGGCTTTTTTCGCTCACCTCGCCCGCGATGAGAGAATAAAACAAGTTTAGCTACAATAAATAATAATAAATAATAATGAGGCCACTGTAAGTCTGATGCTGTGTTTATCAGTGACTGAGGCTTCACTGCAAAGATGAAACTATATTTTCAATATAATATATAAATATCCAAATTGTTTTGTAATTCTTTATTTAAAAGAAAAAGATGTGCTCGGATACAGTGGAGCTCCTGTCTTAGGGGGAAACGCTTGTTATTTTTCATCATTCTCATGCTCTTTTGACCTGTTTTAGTTGAACCAATACATTGAATCCACACACATCAGAGACAGTTTAATAAACAGCTTCATAACCTGAGTACAAAAATCTGAGGCGGCTTAACTTGCTTCTGCTTTTCATGAATTTCCTGCCTAATGAGGCCGATAACAACAAACCACGGCTGATTTATTTCCCGCTTTGCTTGGATTTCTCCCTCCACTGCAGCCTCCTCCATCCTATTTTGATGCTTGATCTGTTTTTAGCTCCAGGCTCCCTCTCTCCGTCTCTCTCTCTCTCTTTCTTTCTGTGTGGAGAAGCATTAGACCCTGCTGCTTAGATGAGAAGTGATGATTCATGTGTTGCATCCAGTCCAGCTCCTCCAGCCTCCACAGCTGACGTGACTCCGCCACTAGAGGGCGTCACAGCACCTCCTGGGCTCTCCACAGTGTCCTACAAGCAGCCTGGTGCGCGTCAAATTTGGGCTTTTTTGACTGAACTGAGGTTACAGAATAGAAATAGGGAGCCAGACTCATGAACACAGATATGATTATTTCTGTGATGATTCATTTGTTTATTTTATGAGCTTTTTGTTCACATTTATTCAGCAGATGTTGCAGATTTTCTCTCAGTGAGCTGGGATCTTTTATGGTTAATTATAAATTACCCAATAAACATTCCTCTTCGTGGACCTTTTGTGATTTGTTAAAAGTAGAAAACACTACATTTATTTTTGTTGTGGCTGAAAGAGGCTCAAAAATGTACTAAAAAAAAACCTCCACCACCAATGTGGAGGTTTAAAGTTTTATTTCCATCTTTTAATTGGCTAAAGAGGGAGGCATATTGTATATTTTATTCTGTGGGATAAACGTTTCCAGTAAGCTTAGTTCATTTCACTTGGAAAGCTCTGGAGCGTCGTATGGTGCTGTGCGCGCTAAGCCTCTTAGGAGGCACGACCAGAGCAGATGTAGGGAGAATGCCAATCAGGAGCTCCTGCTGAGCAGAGAAACCCGTCGGCTGTGCCACTGCCTGCTTCAATCTCTGCCACGGTCCACACAAAAACACGCCAGCATATAGTTTAGCGCCTCAGGTTTGCCGTTGACAACCCAAACCTCCGCTGAAACTCGTGAGCCGTCAGGAAGATGGAGGGCGCGGGAAGTTTCCAACCAATCTAAACCGTCAGAAAGCAAAAGCACCGAATCCTCTCCTGCGCACCGGCAGAGCCATGCTGCCTCAAGACGTCGGGAAGCAGAAGTCCCGCCGTGTGTCGGACCCGGTGTGCGGAGCAGACTTTCCGCCGGTGCCTCCTCGGCGCTTGAAGAACCGGGACTTTCCTCTGAGCGTGAGGCGCCGGCGGTCCGGCTCCGCACCTGAGCGCAAGGTGAACTGCGTCCTGGTTGGCGACGGAGCGGTGGGCAAGACCAGCCTCATCGTCAGCTACACCACCAACGGATACCCGACAGAATATGTTCCGACAGCGTTTGACAACTTTACCGGTAATGTTTGATCGCACCGTAGCGGATTCCAAACTTTACGCACAAGTTTTACGCACGTTGCAATAACAGTGTGTCTGATATTGAGCCTGATTTAGTTTTACTGGTACAAAGCTCGTCTTTCTTCAGGCTACATTCTGCTCACTGAGATGAAACGGTTGCTTCTGTAGAACATTTTAACTGTCTTTTGATCTCCGCAGTGATGGTTGTGGTTGATGGAAAGCCTGTGAGGCTGCAGCTCTGTGACATGGCCGGACAGGTGAGCTGCACACTCACTCTTTGATTGATTGATTTTTAATGTTTAATGTAATTAATAATTAGCAAAGCTTAACATACAGGACATTTCTGAAGCTTTATGTCATACTGAGCTTGTGGGGATGTCACCACTGAGACGTGTCTTCTCCTTCCTCACTCTGCGTCTCCATGATAGAAATGGGGGCTGGTTGATGGATCAATTAATGTAAGTCATCGCTGATCACTGAGTAGCTGCCAGTCATTGTTTCCAAAGGTAGCAGTTGCTGCAGTGTTTGTGTTGGCTGCCCCCTGCAGCCGCTTTTTAGTCCCGGACTTAAATCCTTTAAGACCCCTTGGGCTTGACTTACCCTCCAGTCCCCAGTGACCCCGCAGTTTACATCGCCCCTGCAGGATTAAAGTGAGTTTGTGTTTCAGGCTCCCTGTGTCACCCTGTGCGCCAACGCCCTCTTTTGGTAGACTGTCAGCCTCTGCAAAAAAAACCTCTTCTTGAGTATCAGTTTTCCTCTTTCCGAGCAGCAGCCTCTCTTTCACACTTCAAAAAATAATAATATAGTCATATAAAAATTAACAGGCAGTGTGTTTTTTTGTTTGTTTGTTTTGCATCACAAAGTTAAGATAACTTGGACCGAGGACTGGTTCAAACTCTGTTCCTCTGGAGATCTCATCCTCACCACTGATGTTTTCTTTTTTCTTTTAATGGATTCATTCTCAGGTCGAAAGTCAGAAATCATATGTAGAAATCTCAGGGACGAATGAAAGCTAAATTATTTCTAACCAGAATCGACCCTTAAAACATTTTGAACAACAAAATGTCCTCCCCAAAAAAACAAAATACAGCTTTAAAGCTCCTGGCCAGTAAATTATTAAACGGATGCATCATGTGAACATTAATTATTGCCTAAATTCAGTTTAAACAGAACAGTTAATTTTCAAAACAGTTTTCCGATCATCTCAAGTCCTGGTTTAAAACTCCTGAGGACACACTGATCAGAACCGGGCTGCAGTAAACAATAAATGATTAAATGTTGTTGTTGTAAATCCTCTGTTTTATGTATGAAAGCCGTTCTGAAGTAGAAGTAGTAAATAAAAGATAATAATTAAAAACCTTTTCTCTGTGATGAATCATAGATCAAAGCTGTGATTCATTCAGACAAGTTCGGACTAGATTTATGTTGTCTCTCTGGAAGAAAGGTTTAAAAAAATAAAAGCGATATTAGAAGTGAACGGCAGACTCCATTAAATGCAAGACATCAGGTTATATTCAAGGATACGTTTGGCAAAAATTAGTTTATTCTGACTCAATCCACCAGATGCTAAGTGTGGATACATCTGCAGCTGACAGACAAATGTAATATTTCCTTTAGTTTGAGTCGGGTTTCTTATAGCAGTGACTTTTTTTTTTTCTCTAGAGGCTTTTTTATTACAATCAAAGTGTACTAATGAGCCATTAGCAACGGTTTAATGGGAATGAGCATGTGTGGAACTTATAGCCATCAACAGGGCAGAACGGTCAGACAGCACCGAGAGACAGACGAACACGGTGCTGCTGTTGGTCTGATCATGACANAATATGTATATTTCATAACTTAAACAACCAGCTACAGTGAAAGATGTAAATGTAGAGTACCTGATGAGGAGAGAAGTACGAGAATAAATCCAGCTTGTGCTGCTTTCCATCCCATGGCGGTCCTCTCCGCTCTGCTGTGGCTGCAGACAAAGTAAAACACATCAGCAGGTAAAAAAACACACACAAGAAATGTCATCAGTCACATCAGTGAACACAGTGATCTGACCTGAAGCGCAGATGATGGTGACGTCCACTGAACTGAACTGGTTCAGACAAAACGGTCCTTCTCTAGTGCTGATCCACAGAAGCGTACACAGTAGTGAAAACAAAAACCCAAAGACATTAACGCTAAACTACAACGTTTCAATTCAATCGACCAAACGATGAGGACTGCGTCTGACGGAGACGATCTGGAGTCAGAATTTGTTCTGTTTCATTGTGGTTAAGATGCAAACTTTCTGTTGCTGAGGTCACGATTTCCTTCCTCTAAAAATGTTCCGGGGTGAAAGAAAAAATGTTTAAATGCCGACTGTTGTCTCCGTTTCTGATGGATGGTGTATTTTATGACATCAAGCTATTCAGTAATTTTATTATTGTGCTTGTGCTGTACAACCAAATACCCAATAATGTGAGTTACATGTGAGGAGATGCTCTATTTGGCTGCACTGTAAAAATGAAGGAAGTGGTCATTAAAAATACCTCTGATGGTAGAGGAGAGACTCAGTGGAGTTTGTTGCATTATTTCTTTCTGGTATCGAGACTAAACACTGTTTTCACAGTGTGATCAAGTGTGGGGCAGTCTTGCTGTTTGTCTTTTCTGTTTTTGTCACATCAAGTCAATCTGATGGAGGGATTTGAACCCATGAAGCAGATACTTGCTGTGTTACGGTGTGCGTTCACTCTGACAGTTTATTGCAAAGTTTCATCCTTAAAGTGACACAATGTGAGAACAGGAGACACAAGTCTGAACAAAAAACATTTTATTTCTCATGAATGAAAGCTTTATAGAGGACAATAAAACAGCTGCTGTTTATTCACAGCTGAAATCCACTCTGTATGGCACACTGTCGCCCTCTACAGCAGTGAGAGGGAACTGAAATGTGTGTTCACGACGTAGCTGGCTGTTTTCTTCAAGCTTCAACTGCAGCACTTTGAATCTGTTGGAAATACCAACGTGGTGTTTGATTTAAATGTGTT